TTACCAACACAGGGAATTTATATATTTCTGTCATTGTCTTTTTAATCAATTACCTGCTGGGTTACAGCTGCAGCTAAGTTACCTCCTGCGCTGTCTCCTCCAATGCCAATGCGGCTTTGGGCTACATTATATTTCTCCAGAATGCTGCTTTGTAGAAAGTATTTTGATACTGAGTACACATCTTCAAATGCAACTGGGAATCGATATTTTGGAGCTAGTCTGTAACTTTGGTAATTGATTAAAAAGACAATGACAGAAATATATAAATTCCCTGTGTTGGTAAAACAAAATTAATTTATCACTACATTTAAACTATTGATACTAGATTTTAGAAGCTGATTTTCTTCAATATAGAATTTGCTTAATTTTTTTTGAATTCCTTGCTTATTTGTTTGCTAAATGATCAATAAAATTTCTAATCTGGTCTATTTTGTCAATAGAATTATTATGCTTTATAGGAAGTTATGCTTTATGGAGTTATATGGAATAATCTAATACAGAATAATCTTTAACTTTGAAAAATACTGTTAGCTTTTTTTTTAAAGCAGCTGGTAAGCAAGACTGATGCAATAATCTGTGGAAAAATCCTTAAGAAGGAGAAGGAAAAACCAAAGACCACAGATAAGAGATAAGAGACATCTCAGTCCACAAAAGGAATGTGGTGTAGAAAGTATCTCAGAAGGGACCATGCTGGTTCCTTTAAAAGTAAAGGCAAAAGGGGAACAATGCAAAAATCTGTTACGATGACCTTGCAAAAAGGTAGTATTACAACTCATAGTGTTGGCTTTTTGTCCACATTATCACAAAAGGCTGACAATTGTTATATTTTATATTGTGAAATATAGATTTTAGTCTTTTTAAATGATTTGTGCATTTCAATTTATTTAAATATTATTATACTGTCTTCCAATCATATTCTATTTGTTTACAATTTGCAAAACGTATAAAAGACAGTAAATGTAAAACTACATTAACTATTCATTATAAATGCAAAATAATACTTAAAGCATAGTACATGCAAGGGAGTATAATTTAGCAACCAATAATAATATACAGTATATGTGGCTTCAATGTGCTAGTTTGTGCTATTAGTATCACTTATTATTCTTTTGCTTACAGAAAAAGATTAGGAAAAGATTAATGAACAAAAATGTCTCCTTCAAATCCCATTCTTACTCGACTGACACCACAACAGCATTTAGTCTTTCTGATGTCCATCTTGATAAGAGGTCATAGGNTCTAGTCAACGTTCTCCGTTTGTGTGCAACCATCGAGAAAAGCACTTGGATAAGTGACTTGATTTATATAATCCTGTTTTGTTGTAGTTTATGAGAGAGGACTTTTGCCAGAGCATTTATCTGTGTTTATTTTGGGCAAGCAGCCAGCAAAAGCCGGGACTGATAAAAACATTCCTTTGAACATTCTGTTTGGCTTTCGTTTCTGAACGGACAAGGTGGGGGTCAGAACAGCTACCCAAGGTTCCTGGGTCACCCCAGGCCAGGCCATGGATGGAGCTACTACGGTGTGGGTCGCACCCACTCTACCTGAACTGGCAGCAGCACAAGCAATGCCACCCCTGGCAGCAGCAGATGTGTAAGCCAATCCACCTCTGGGTACTACTCTTCAAAGGCACCGGGCCTCAAAGGTCCCAGCCTTGGGGGTGAAGTATGGGGGAGATCCTGAGCAACTGGGGGTTTTCCTGGTTCAAGTCTGGAACTACATGCAGGAGTATGGGGCTGAACTGGGGACGGGAGAAGCCTGAATAAGACGGGTGACCATGGTTCTGCAAGGTTGAGTGGATGGTCTCCCTCCACAATGACAACACCCCCCCAACTGCAGAACTATGACCACTTTATGGCAGCCCTTTGCCAATGGTTCAAGGACCCACTGGCAGAGCGCAAGGCTCAGACCCAGATGAAGGCCTTCACCCAAGGGCGATGGTTAGTTTCTGCATACACCCAGGAGTTCCGAGTGTTGGCATGCTGGTTAGCCACATGGTCCAAATACATCCTCATTGACTGCTTCAAAGATGGCCTCAACGATGTGAGGTGGAGATGACGTCGCAGCAAGACAGTGTAGCTTCCATAGGCCTCTATGGGAGTTCACCGAATTCCTTTTGCCAGAGGGTCCCAACAGACCTAAGTCACCTTGGAAGGGTGGTGAAGAAAAGAGGAGACCCTGTAAATCACAAGGAGATCATTAACTCCTTGTTTCATCCGGGGGAAAGCTCTTGTTCCGGCAGACAGGAAAAGACAGCCATTGCGTGCTGTCCAAGGCTGTGACAGCCCGACTGGAGAAGAATGAGTGAAGATTGAGGAAGAACAGTGCGGTAACTGGGTGAGAACTTTCTTTTTTAAAAAAATTAAAAAGTTTTTTATTAAACAGAAATTAAAACGTTGGACACGGTGTAAACCATCCTGGCAGAATCTATGCCATACATGCTAAGATATTCAGTTATACATTGTAGCCACCCTGTTTTTTTAACATTTGATCCATACCGTATTTACAAAAAGGAAAAAAATAACCTATTTCCAGCTGTGTTGGTTTATGTTTATCTTGTACATTCTCACATTTATAATTTCATACATAATTCTAGTCTCCGTTCTATGAATCTTGGCTCATGCCTATTTTGGTCTTTCCCTTTTATATTCCAACCATCCATAAAATTTATCCCAGATCTTATAATATTCTGATTTATCTTTATTCTTCAATTCCCACGTCAATTTATCCATTTCAGATCAAGATTTTCCTAATTATTTCCCCTTCATGTGGAGTTTCCCTGTTTTTCCAATTTTGGGCAAAGACCATTCTTGCTGCCATGATAATGTGTATAGTTAAAAAGATAACCCCCTTGTTGTATTTCTTGTTTACAATTCCCAA